TCCTGGGCCCAGCGGCAGTGCAGCCTCCTCAACAGCGCCACCTTCCGGGCCTGCCACGCCCACGTACGCGCCTCCCTCCGGAGCCTGGGGGGAGGGGGAGGGGGAGGGAGGGAGCAGGGGGGAGGGAGGAGGGGGGAGGGGGGGGGGGGGGGGGGAGGGGGGAGGGGGGAGGAGGGGGGAGGGAGGAGGGGGGAGGGAGGAGGGGGGAGGGAGCAGGGAGGAGGGGGAGGACTGGGGTCAGGACACCCCGTGGGGAGCCTGCCTTTGCTGTGCCCGAGCTCCACAGCGCAGGCCGCCACCCGCCAGCACCCTGGGGCGGGGGTGCCGGAGCCTGAGGCCTGTCCCCGCAGGTGGAGCCGGCCCCGTACTACGAGGCCTGTGTGAGCGACGCGTGCGCCTGCGACTCGGGCGGCGACTGCGAGTGCTTCTGCACCGCCGTGGCCGCCTACGCCCAGGCCTGCCGCGACGCGGGCGTGTGCGTGGCCTGGCGCAGCCCGGACGTCTGCCGTGAGTGTGTGGGCTCGGCCCGGGGGGGGCGGGGCGAGCTGGGAGGAAACGGGCTGGAGAGGGCAGATGTGGTAGAACCTTCTGGAACTGAGAGGTAGCAGAGCCCCCAGCCCCACCCCTTCCCAGCACAGACAGTGGTCCAGAGGGCGACGTGGCTGGGGAGCTGCTGTGAGCAAGTCCCCGCCCCGAGGGGGTGCCTCTGAGAAGCGGGGGCCCGGCGGCCACCCTCCCCACTGCCCATCGGAGCCACACGGTCTAGGCCACGCCCTCCGAGGCCACGTCCGGAGTCCCGGGAGGGAAAGCTCCAGAATAGCCGGCGGGACTTAGTCCAAGATGGGGTGCCGGGAGCCGGCTGGGGCTGGGGGAGCCGGCTGGGGCTGTTCCCCCGCGGTGCTGCCCGGGGCTGGCGGGGGCTGGGGGAGGCGCCCTGCCCGCTCAGCAAGTCCCTGCCCACAGCCCTGTTCTGCGACTACTACAACCCCGAGGGCCAGTGCGAGTGGCACTACCAGGCCTGCGGGGCGCCCTGCCTGCGGACCTGCCGGAACCCCCGCGGCCAGTGCCTGCACGACACGCCTGGCCTGGAAGGTGGGCTGGGCTGCTGGCCGCGGAGGGGGGGCGCCTGGGGAGCCCGGGACCCTGGGGAGCCCTGGCGGTGCCTTTGTGGGTGCAGCCTGGCACTCCCCCTGGCGCTGCGGCAGGGCCGGGGCTGGGCAGCGTGCACTGGAACTGCCCCCCCGGCCCCCAGGCTGCTACCCCAAGTGCCCGCCGGAGGCCCCCATCTTTGACGAGGACGCCAGGCGCTGTGTGGCCGCGTGCCCGGCCCCGTCCTGCCAGGTCCAGGGCAAGTCCTACCGGCCGGGCGCGGCGGTGCCCGCGGAGGAGAACTGCCGCTCCTGGTGAGTGGCCCGCGGCCGCGGCCCGCGCTCCGAGCCTTCCACCCACCCCAGCACGAGCCCCGCAGGCCACCGCCCGGCGGGCCCAGGGGCGGGGCCTGCGGGAAGGGGCGGAGCCTGAGCCACCCAAGGACCCAGGACGGGCGCCCTGGGAGGAAGTGGGGGGGGGCTCCCTGAGAGGTGACCTCAGGCTCCCACGGGCACCCCGAGGGGCTGCTCCTGCCCCCCCCGCCCGCACACACAGCTGGGACACCCCCTCCCCCCTCTGCCGCCAGCATCTGCACGGAGAACGGCGTGCGGTGCGTCTACGACGCCGAGGGTGAGCGGGGCCTTCCTGGGGCGGGGGCGGGGGCGGGGGCGGGGTCCTCCCACACCCCCGGCCCTGACGCCCGCTCCGCCCCGCAGCCTGTGTCTGCAGCTACGACGGGCGGCGCTTCCGGCCCGGGGAAGCCATCTACCACACGGCGGACGGCACCGGCGGCTGCATCTCCGCCCGCTGCGGGCCCAACGGCACCATCGAGAGGACCGTGGTCGCCTGCAGCCCCAGCTCCCCGGCCCCGCCCACCACCTTCTCCTTCTCCTCCTCCTCCACCGCCACCACGCCCCCCAGCGGTAGGCAGCCCCTCCTCTCCCCGCCCCCCAGCTCCCCGGCCCCGCCCACCACCTTCTCCTCCGCCACGCCCCCCAGCGCAGGCAGCCCCCCCTCCTGCATGTCCCCCTGTGGTAGGCAGCCCCCCCATGCATGTCCCCCAGTGTAGGCAGCCCCCCCCTGCATGTCCCCCAGTGTAGGCAGCCCCCTCCTCTCCCCACCCCCCAGTGTAGGCAGCCCTCCCCTGCATGTCCCCCAGCGCAGGCAGCTGTGCCAGGACCATGCAGGGTGGCCCTGGCCCTGAGAATCGATGGGGAGGTCGGAGCGGGCAGGAGCGGTCACCTGCAGGGGGGTCAGCCTCCCTGGGTCTCAGGGGACGGGTGCCCGGGGCAGCGCTGCCAGCGAAGGCTCCCAGGCTGGCCGAGAGGAGGGTGCCATCGCGGACAGACAGACAGCTGACAGGCAGGGGCCGAGCGCGTGCAGGTCCCTGACGCCGGGCCCTCTCCTCCCTTCTTCCCGCAGCCGGGAGCTCCACGGGTCCGCCCGGCCCGCGCCCCAGCCCCGCCACGAGCCCGGCCCCCACCAGCACCCCCAGGCCGCGGCCTCCGACGGCCTCCGTGGCCCCCTGTGGGGAGGACTGCCAGTGGTCAGTGTGGATGGACGTCAGCCGCCCGGGACGCGGCCTCGACAGCGGTGACTTCGACACGCTGGACAACCTCCGTGCCCACGGGTACCCGGTGTGCCAGGCCCCGCGGGCGGTGGAGTGCCGAGCCGAGCGCGCCCCTGACCTGCCGTTCCAGGTGCTGGGGCAGCAGGTGGAGTGCAGCCCGGACGCAGGGCTGACCTGCTACAACAGGGACCAGGTCTCGGGGCTCTGTGACAACTACCACATCCGGGTGCTCTGCTGCTCCCCTCGCGCCTGCCCCAGCTCCCCGGGCCCTGCCGTCCCCGGCACAACCAGCAGCTCCGCGCCGACAGCCCCTGTCACCACCGCCTCCCCCGCCCCAGGCACCTCCTCCCCCGCCCCTGTCACCACCTCCCCTGTGAAAACAACTCGCTCAGCCCCCAGCCCAATGCCAGCTTCCACCACGGAGCCCTCCACCTCACCCCCAGGGTCCCCCTCCTGCTGGCAGGAGTCCTGCAGCTGGACCGAGTGGCTGGATGGCAGCTACCCCAAGCCTGGGATCAACGGCGGGGATTTTGACACTTTCCATGACTTGCGATCCAAAGGGTACAGGTTCTGCGAGCGGCCCCGCCAGGTGGAGTGCAGGGCCGAGCGCTTCCCGGACACGCCGCTGGCCGAGCTGGGGCAGAATGTGGTCTGCAGCGACAGCCAGGGCCTGCTGTGCCTCAACAAGGACCAGCTGCCGCCCATCTGCTACAACTACCAGATCCGGATCCTGTGCTGCCAGTGGATTTACGTGTGCAGAGACGGAGATGGGACCATCTCCCCGAGGACTCCTCCTGACACCACAACCCCTGTGCCTACAACCAGCACCACCTCTGTGCCTACAACCAGCACCACCTCTGTGCCTACAACCAGCACCACCTCTGTGCCCACAACCAGCACCCCTGTGCCTACAACCAGCACCCCTGTGCCCACAACCAGCACCCCTGTGCCTACAACCAGCACCCCTGTGCCCACAACCAGCACCACCTCTGTGCCTACAACCAGCACCACCTCTGTGCCTACAACCAGCACCCCTGTGCCCACAACCAGCACTCCTGTGCCCACAACCAGCACCCCTGTGCCTACAACCAGCACCCCTGTGCCCACAACCAGCACTCCTGTGCCCACAACCAGCACCCCTGTGCCCACAACCAGCACCACCTCTGTGCCTACAACCAGCACCACCTCTGTGCCCACAACCAGCACTCCTGTGCCCACAACCAGCACTCCTGTGCCCACAACCAGCACCCCTGTGCCTACAACCAGCACTCCTGTGCCTACAACCAGCACTCCTGTGCCCACAACCAGCACCCCTGTGCCTACAACCAGCAGCACCCCTGTGCCCACAACCAGCACCCCTGTGCCTACAACCAGCACCACCTCTGTGCCCACAACCAGCACTCCTGTGCCCACAACCAGCACCCCTGTGCCTACAACCAGCACTCCTGTGCCTACAACCAGCACCCCTGTGCCTACAACCAGCAGCACCCCTGTGCCTACAACCAGCACTCCTGTGCCCACAACCAGCACCCCTGTGCCTACAACCAGCAGCACCCCTTGTGCCTACAACCAGCACCCCTGTGCCTACAACCAGCACTCCTGTGCCCACAACCAGCACCCCTGTGCCTACAACCAGCAGCACCTCTGTGCCTACAACCAGCACCACCTCTGTGCCCACAACCAGCACTCCTGTGCCTACAACCAGCACCCCTGTGCCCACAACCAGCACCCCTGTGCCTACAACCAGCACCCCTGTGCCCACAACCAGCACCCCTGTGCCTACAACCAGCACCCCTGTGCCTACAACCAGCACCCCTGTGCCTACAACCAGCACCACCTCTGTGCCCACAACCAGCACTCCTGTGCCTACAACCAGCACTCCTGTGCCTACAACCAGCACCCCTGTGCCTACAACCAGCACCACCTCTGTGCCCACAACCAGCACTCCTGTGCCTACAACCAGCACTCCTGTGCCCACAACCAGCACCCCTGTGCCTACAACCAGCACCCCTGTGCCTACAACCAGCACTCCTGTGCCCACAACCAGCACCCCTGTGCCTACAACCAGCACTCCTGTGCCCGCAACCAGCACCACCTCTGTGCCCACAACCAGCACTCCTGTGCCCGCAACCAGCACCACCTCACCTCCCATAACTGCCACAACCCCTGTTCCTGCACCTCAGACGACCCATCCCACACCGGGCACCACCAGCTGCCAGCGACAGTGCACGTGGACCAAGTGGTTCGACGTGGACTTCCCGTCCCCCGGGCCCCACGGGGGAGACACGGAGACCTACGGCAACATCGTCCGCCACGGAGAGAGGGTGTGCGGCCGGCCCGAGTACATCACCCAGCTGGAGTGCCAAGCCCGGAGCTTCCCCGGGATCAGCATCGCCAGGCTGGGCCAGGTGGTGCGGTGCCGCCTGGACGAGGGCCTGGTGTGCCGCAACCGCGACCAGCCGGGCAGGTTCAAGATGTGCCTCAACTACGAGGTCCGCGTGCTGTGCTGCGAGCCCCGAGCCGGCTGCCCGGCCTCCGGGACCCGCCCTGTGACCTCTACCACGGCCCCGCCCACCGCTTCCCCCTCCGCGGTCCCTCCGGTGCCGCCGTCAGTGCCGCCGTGCTACTGCAGCGTGTCCCACAAGCTGTACCCTGCAGGTAGGGACGGCGCCCGGCCGCGGTGCGCGCTGCCCCGCCCGGTCCCCTTCCCCAACAGCCACGTGCGACCCGCACACGGGCCCCGTGACCCCGCCTCCCCGTGACCCCGCTCCCCCAGGGCCGCCCTCGGCATCTATCCATGGACATCCGCCCCCCACGCCCTCCCGGCACCGCTGACGCCCGTCCCGCTGTCTGCAGGGTCCATCATATACCAGAAGGCGGACCTCGCCGGGCACTGCTACTACTCCGTGTGCAGCCTGGACTGCCACGTGGTGCGACAGACGGACCACGCCTGTCCCACCAGCACGCCACCTGTGACCCTGGCGACCCTCCACACTGGCTCTTCCCCGTCGACCCCTGTGCCTGTCACCGTACCTGGCTGCCCCAGTGCTGTGCCCCCGAGAGCGGTACCTCCCCTTCCCGCCTTCCTGGGGGGCTCTGGGCTGCCGTGGGACCCCAGCCTCCTCGCCACTCGGCGGTGGCTTCATGGGCGGTGACCGGCCTCGCAGGCCGAGCGCGGGCCGTCCACAGGCGGCCGGAGGAGGGGCTGGAGCGGAGGCCCTCCTGTCTCGGTGACAGACGTCCAGAGGGGTGGCCGGCGTGTGGGGAGCAGGGCGGAGACGGGAAGAGGGGGTGGCCGCCGGCCAGGCCGGCACCTGCAGCTGTCTTTGCCCCCACAGACGGGAGAGACCTGGCCGATGCCCAACTGCTCCCAGGCCACCTGCGAGGGCAACAACGTCATCTCCCTGCGGCCGCTGCCGTGCCCGGAGGTGTCCCCGCCGGCCTGCGCCAACGGCTACCCCGCCCTGAAGGTGCCCGACGAGGATGGCTGCTGCCACCACTACCAGTGCCAGTGTGAGCCAGGGGGCCGCCGGGCCGATGGGCAGGGACAGGGTTCGACACCAGGGAGGGCTCCCCGCAGCAGGCCGTGGCTTGGTGGGCCCAGCATCCCCCGGGGTGTCCGGGGCGGAGCTGCCCCGCCCAGGCTCCTCCCGGACTGCGGGCCGATGACCTGGCGGCTCAGAGCCCAGGCCTCGCGGCTGCCCCTCGTGCCCGTTGGGAGGGCCGGGTGGCTGGGGAGCCGCCGGCCCGCTGAGGCCCCGCTGGCGCCCGCAGGTGTGTGCAGCGGCTGGGGCGACCCCCACTACATCACCTTCGACGGCACCTACTACACGTTCCTGGACAACTGCACGTACGTGCTGGTGCAGCAGATCGTGCCCGTGTACGGCCACTTCCGCGTGCTCATCGACAACTACTTCTGCGACGCCGAGGACGGGCTGTCCTGCCCGCAGTCCATCATCGTGGAGTACCGGCAGGAGCGCGTCGTGCTCACCCGCAAGCCCGTCCGCGGGGTGATGACCAATGAGGTGGGGCCTCCCACGGGGTGGGCAGGGCGCTGGGTGGTGACCAATGAGGTGAGGCCTCCCACGGGTGGGCGGGGCGGAGGCTGACGGCCGTCCCGTTCCCCTCCGCGTGCCCGTCCAGATCATCTTCAACAACGAGGTGGTCAGCCCGGGCTTCAGGAGAGGCGGCCTCGTCGTCTCCCAAGTCGGCATCAGGATGTTCGTGAGCATCCCCGAGATCGGCGTCCAGGTCATGTTCACGGGCCTCATCTTCTCGGTGGAGGTGCCCTTCAGCAAGTTCGCCAACAACACGGAGGGCCAGTGCGGTGAGCCCCGCCGCCCCGCCGCCCCGGGACCAGCCCCTCCGCCTCTAAATGCGCTGACAGGCTCCGCTGGAGCGCGCTCCCCCTGCGAGTCCCTGGGAGGGCGGGTGCTGGCCCGGTGCAGCTGCCCTGAGCGCTGAGCCTGCGGGGGACCCCCCACCCCCGGCCCTACCCTCCTGGGAACTGTCCGGGACCCGCTTCTGGAGCTGAGGGAAGCGCAGGGCGGTCGGGACCTCTGAGTGCAGGTGGAGGACCCGCCCCGGGAGGGTGGGAGTGGCTGCCTGACCCCGCCCCCGCCCCCCCCCCCCCCCAGGCACCTGCACCAACGACCCCAAGGACGAGTGCCGCCTCCCTGGCGGCGCGGTGGTGACCTCCTGCTCTGACATGTCCGGGTACTGGAAGGTGACCAACCCCGACCAGCCGTCCTGCCATGGGCCGCCCCGGACACGCCCCACCGTCGGGCCCACGACCCCGCCTGCCCCGTGCCCGCCCTCGCCAATCTGCGATCTGATTCTGAGCGAGTGAGACTCTGGGAGTGGTTGTGGGGGGACGGGGCGGGCAGGGGGGAGGGACCCCATCCCTCCGGGCTGGTGGGGAGACGTGGCCTGCGGGCCCCCGGGGAGGCGGGCCCGGTGGGGAGGAGCACTGCCTCCTGGGCTGGCGGTGGGGGTCACCAGAGCGGCCCCCGGGCTCTGCTGCCGCTGGCAGGCGGGGCGCAGGGCCGGGCGGGGCGGGCGCTCTGAGCTCCGGGCCAGGCCCTGTGGACCTGCCTCAGCCACACCAGGTTGGCCGGGCGAGGGGAGCCCGTGGGGGAGTCTGCGGAAAGAAAGGGCGAAGCTGCAGGCATTGGGGCTCGGCCCCCCGCCGGCCGTCCCCGGAAGCCGAGCTGGCGGCCGGAGGGGCGGCTCCTGAGCGCGCCCTGTGCCGCAGCGTCTTCCAGCCGTGCCACGCCGTGATCCCCCCGAGGCCGTACTACCTGGGCTGTGGCTTCGACCACTGCCACATGACGCACGCCGACGTGGTGTGCTCGGGCCTGGAGCTGTACGCCTCGCTCTGCGCCACCCACGGCGTGTGCATCGACTGGCGGGGCCGCACCAACCACACCTGCCGTGAGTGCCGGGGCCTGGCGGGGAGGACCCGGGCAGAGCACACTGGCTCCTGGAAGGAAGGGGGGCTCGGGGTGCGAGGGGGGGGGGGCTGAGGGCCGGCAGGGGTCCAGCTCAGCCAGAGCCCTCAGGCGTGGTGTTTCTCCCGGCACAGCCTTCACCTGCCCCGAGGACAAGGTGTACCAGGCCTGCGGCCCCTCCAACCCCTCCTACTGCTACGGGGGTGACAGCGCCAGCCTCGTGTACGTGCCTGCCCCTCCCTCCTGTGCCCCCAGGACCCCAGGTGGAGGGCACAGGGGCCAGACCGACCCTCCCTCTGCTCCCCAGGGCCCTGCAGGACGCCGGCCCCACCACCGAAGGCTGCTTCTGTCCGGAGGGCATGACGCTTTTCAGCGAGAGCAGCACCGTCTGCGTGCCCGCGGGCTGCCCCCGTACGTCCCCCCGGGCTTGGGGCTGCGGGCTGGGGCCCGGGAGGGGGTGAGGGGGGTGTGCCTTCGGCCCAAACGCCCTCTCAGCGAGACCCGGGCTTCCTGTGCCTGCCGGTCTCCGGGGTCTGCCCTGGAGACGGGGGGCCGTGGCTGCCCGGCAGTGACCTTAGTCTCTCCCTGCAGGGTGCCTGGGGCCCCACGGGGAGCCCGTGGAGGTGAGTGTGGGCCCTGGGGGCGGGCTTCCTCTCAGTGCCAGAGGCTCAGAGCGGGGCCAGCGAGGGGCCACAGTGTCCCAGCAGGATGGGGAGCCCTCGGCCCTGGGGGAGTGTGGGTGCTGGCCAGGCCCATCCTCACGGGGCCCCTCCGGCTTGCTAAGAGGTGAAGGAGGAGCTGGTCACCGGGGCCCCGGGGCCTCAGGCACCACGCACTTTTAAAGCCCCTCCCTCCGGCCCCGCGCCCGCCTCTGGCTGCCTGCGGACAGGCAGGGGACGGAGGCCGGGGCTCACGTCTGCCTCCCCGCACCCCGCAGCCCGGCCACACGGTCAGCTCCGACTGCCAGGAGTGCACCTGCGAGCCCGAGACCTGGACCATGAGCTGCCGGAGCCAGCCCTGCCCGCCACCCCCCGTCTGCCCCGAGCCCGGACTTGTGCCTGTGCCCATGTCCGCCCAGGCCGGCCAGTGCTGCCCCCAGTACACCTGCGGTGAGCCTCGGGCGGGGGGGGGGGCCGCCGTCCTCAGGTCGGCCGAGGGTCCTGGCACCAGCTCGGGGTGGCCACTGGCACCTGGGGGAAAGCCCAGGAGGACAGGCAGTGCCCGCCCCTGCTGTGGCCTATCGGTGACCCCAGCAGGTGTCCCGGGAGGGTGGGGCTTCCCTGCCCAGGCTGCCCGGAGGCCATGCCCTGGGGCAGCCAGCGCCCCCTGGAGAGCCCGCCCCCGCCCACGGGGCAGTCAGCACCTTGGAGACCCCTAGGCACCGCACTCCGGGTCTGAGCCTTCTCCCCCCTCGCAGTCTGCAACTCCAGCCACTGCCCGGCACTCCCGGCCTGTCCCGAGGGCACCCGCCAGGTCCTGACCCGGGAGGAGGGGGCCTGCTGCCCGCGCCAGCAATGCAGTGAGTGTCCTCGCACCCCCAGCTCCGGCATAGCTACAAGGAGCCACTGGTGATGAGCGTGGGCACTGTGTGTGCCCAGGAGGCCGGGGGCAGGGGAGGGGCCTGGCGGGTGAAGGGGGAGGGGAGGAGGTGCAGGGCACAAGGGCGGGTCCGCAGCTGCTGTCTCCTCCCAACAGTCTGGACCGCCTGCCGCGTGAATGGCACCTTGCACCAGGTGAGCACCCTGGAGCTCAGCGCCTGCCGTGCTGAGCGCGGCCGGGCCCCGTCTGTCTCTCTGGCCGGGCCCCGGACACGGTGACCTCCTGGGGGGGGGAGCAGCCTGGGGGCTCTGACCCTGAGACCGAGCCGCTGAGGGCCGCCCCAGCCCCAGAGCCTGAGGAGGGGGTGCCGCAGACAGCCGGGGCCACCCCGCCAGCGCCGGAGAGGGCGGGGCCGGGGAGATGGCCTGTCAGGGCCCCCCTCGGAGGCCAGCAGCGGGAGACAGACAGACGCAGGGCCCCCTCCGCTGGAGGTCCTTGGACGGTCACTCACCAGCGGGGGCCCTGCAGCCCGGGGAGACCTGGTCGGAGCCGGGGAACCGCTGTGTGACCCACGAGTGTGAGCGGCAGCAGGACGGGCCCGTGGTGGTGACGACGAGGAAGGCGTGCCCCCCGCTCAGCTGCCCGGCGGTGAGTCCGGGGCCTGCCCCCGTCCGCCCCCCTCCCCCCCGGCCCCTGCCCCGTCTGAGCCTGGCCCCGGCCCGGCTGACGGCACCCTTTTTGCTGGCCCAGGACCAGGCTCGGCTGAGCCAGGACGGCTGCTGCCTCGCGTGCCCGCCGCCCCAGCCCCAGAACCGTGAGTGGGCTTCCCCGGGGGCGGGGGGGGGGATCCGGGAGCCTGGGCCGCCCTGACCTCCGCGCCCGCCCGCCCGCCCGCCCCGCAGGGTCCACCTGCGCCGTCCAGCACCGGCTCCAGGTCATCCGCCTGCAGGGCTGCAGCTCCTCGGGCCCCGTGCGCCTCGCCTACTGCCAGGGCAACTGCGGGGACACCGCCTCCGTGTACGTGAGCCCCGCCCGCTCCGGGTCGCGGGGGTGGGCAGGGGTGCCGGTGGGCTGGGTGGAGGCCGAGGCCCCCGGCCGTTAGGAATCACGTGACCCAGGCGGCTTGCTGGGGTTCCTGAGCCCGTGTGTCCCCCCGGCCCTGAGGCCAGCTGCGGGTGATTTTTTAAAACATACTTGTATCGATTTCAGAGAGGAAGGGAGAGGGAGGGAGGGAGGGCGGGAGGGAGGCATCCGTGATGAGAATCCGGTTGATTGCCTTCTGCACGCCCCCCACTGGGGATGGAGCGGCCGGGCACGCGCCCCGACCAGGAATCGAACCCTGACCTCCGGGCTCATCACAGATGCTCAGCCCCTGAGCCACGCCGGCCGGGCCAGCCAGGGGAGGGGAGACCCGTGGCTGTTGCTGGATGGCCGGGGTGCCTCCGAGAGCAGGTGTCCCCTCGGGCGGTGGGTGCGCGGTGGGTGCGCGGCTCCGGGCTGCACCCGGCTGAGCCCCCGCCGCCCGCAGGTACTCGCTGGAGGCCCAGGCGCTGGAGCACAGCTGCCGCTGCTGCCAGGAGCTGCGGGCCGCGCCCCGGAACGTGACGCTGCGCTGCCCGGACGGCTCCCGCCGCGCCTTCAGCTACACGCAGGTGGAGGAGTGCGGCTGCGTGGGCCAGCGCTGCGACGCCCGCGGGGGCCTGGGCCCGGAGGAGCCGGCGCCCCTGCAGAGGCGGGACCCTGCGCGCGGGCGCTGGAGCCGGGGGGCCCCCGCCCTGCCCCTGGCTGAGGGGCGCCTCCCTGCCCACTGAGCCCGAGCCCCCTGGACCCAGCCCCACGGCCGGAGCCGGAGCCGGAGCCCGGGCTGGCGGCCTCCTCGGGGCCCAGTCCAGCGGCCGCTCCCAGACGCGGGCCTGGCGTGGGGCGGTACCCACGACGTGGCTGGCCACGCGGCTGGCTGCTGGGGCTGCGGGAGGCAGGGCCTCCCCCACCTCCGCCCTGGGCCTCGGGAAGGCCCGTCCTTCCGGAAATACACTGAAGCATTTTGCAAGCCCGGCTCTGTGTGGTGTTTCAGCGGCTCCGAAGGCGCAGGGGAGGGGGCCGTCAGCCTCAGGGCGGGCGGGGGGGAGCCCCCAGTCTCAGGGCGCGTCTGTCCACCCACCCACTGGCCACGTCAGGCACCAGAGGGCCCCCTGGGGTGGAAATTTCTAGGGAAGGGCTCCATCTCCTCCTCACCAAGTTTCCCGACCCACCACCACATGCATGCAAGCTGGGTATGTGTGCGCGCACACGTGTGTGTGTGTGTGTGTGTGTGTGTGTGTACCAATGAGCATGTGCGTACATGTGTGTTCATAACCACATGAGCATGTGCATATGATGTGTGTGCATGTGTTATGCATTCATAGCCGTGTGTATGCATACACATGTAAGTGTGTACACGAGCATGCGTGTGCCCACATGTGTGCCCCTGCAGGCACTCTGAGACAATGCCCCGCAGAGGGTGAGAGGCCCTGATCCTGCCACTTCCTCCCTCAGCTGCAGGCCGCAGCCTCGCCCTGGGAGCGCCCACATTCTGAAGCCCGGCCCTCCCCGGGGCCAGGGGAGGTGCAGACACCCCATCCGCACGCTCCCCAAGGCTGCACGGGGGCGGGGGTACGGGGCGCTGTGGGAGGCTGAGCGTGGGGACAGGGAACGGAGGTCAGCCCCGGCACAGGCTGGGCCCACCAGGAACGCCAGGGGGTCCCACGTGTGGGGAGGAGACACTCAGCGCAGACCCACCGACAGCTGATGGTGCTGGGTGCATGGTGGTGCTGGGGGCGCGTGCCTCCGGGCTGGCCGACAGGACTGGGGGCCGCCACGGGCCGCCCTCGGGCTCAGGGTCCCGCGGACACCCGGGCAGGGGGCTGGGGAGCCGGGAGAAGATTCTGGGCCGAAGGAGGCCCAAGCACCGTCCTCCGGGACAGCAAGGTCACAAACAGAAACTGAGGCTGGCGCTGCCGGCTGGGGGCGCGCAGCCCAGGCACAGGGAGCGGTCCCGAGGCCCCAGCTGGTGGGCAGTGCCCAGCCCTGTCCTGGGGCTAGATGCCCAGGCTCCGTCCCCCATCGAGTGCCTCAGCTGGCAGAGCTGGGCTGAGTCGGGGGCGGAGGTGGGACTGACCAGGCACCACCCTCGTCTCCAGGACCCCCTCGCCACGGGGGCTGTACGTGGCCACGCGCCTCCGGCTCAGGCCTGGGCTGCGGGAGCCGAGCCAGGGGTCCCGGCGTCCCGGCACAGACGGATGTCCTGGGGTCTGGGCCAGCCGCCCGGGGTGTGGCAGGGCTGAGCTGTGGAGGGACCGAGGCCCCGGGTCTCAGGGCAGAGGGAGAGGCTGGGTGTTTGTGGCCACACACTTGGCTCACGCTGCCTCTCCCACCCCCGCCACCCTGTCCTCCGAGGCTGGGCCTGAGCAGGAAGTGCTGGGACCCCGGCCTGGCCCCCAGGGCCCCTCTGATGGCTGTGTGCCGGCTGCAGGCAGTGGAGCAGACCTGAGCCTGACCCTCCTGCAGGGGCCCGGCCGGCGGGAGCAGACGGGAGGGTCGGGGCGCGGCCAGGCAGCCCCTCCCGCAGGAGGAGGCGGAGTGAGGGACCGGCCGGCCACGGCGCAGGGCCCCTCCCCGGCGGGAAGTCCCAGCCTGAGGCCTGGGGGCTGCTGGCCCAGTGACCCGCTGACCCGCAGCCCAAGAGGCCCCCTGCGCGGGTCGGGTGTCGGCGAGCCGCCCCTTCCTCATGGGCGGGCTGGGCGCCAAGGCTGACTAATCCCCGCCCAGCACAGCCTTCCTGCTGGCACCCGGGCCGGCAGGAGGTAACTGAGCGGCCCTGCCCGCCCCCGGCCGCAGCCCCCCCAGGTTATGCAAGTGACGCTTCCCGGAAAGAGGTGCAGAGCCGGGCACGGCCCCGCAGCCCCCGCACCGCCCGCCTCGCTGTGGCTCCTCCGGGCCAGGCCGGCCTCCCTCTGCTGGGCACGGGGGGGGGGGGGGGGGGACACTTACCACCTGGCTTGCGGGCACGTGGCTGCCCCCGGGGTCTCACTGGGGGCCATCCCGGGCAAGATGCCCACTCAGCGGGAAGCCCGTGCCCGTGTGGGCTGGTCAGAGCCCCCTCCGGCCTGGCCGTCAGCGCCCACCCGTGGGGACACCTGGCACCGGGGCCTCCACTCGGCCCCAATCCCCGGAGAGGCCGCTTGGTCTGAGCCTGCACGCCCGGCACACATGGGCATGGCCTGGGCCGTGGGCAGGGGTGGCCTCTCAGACAGACAGGGGTCTGGGGCACATCCTGGCCGAGGGGCAGAGCAATGGACACCGTGAACTTAGAGGTGGGCATGGTGACCTCAGAGGTGGGCATGGTGACCTCAGAGGTGGGCATGGTGACCTCAGAGGGCTTGGGGCACAGACCCAAGGAGAGAGAGGGCCGTGGGGACCCGTGAGGAGCCTGGGCGCGGGGCGGGCAGGTGCTGGCCGGTCCCCTGGACACATGCGCCCGCCGGGGGTGCGCCGGGGGCCGGGACGGAGCGGGCCTGCGGGCGGCGACACTCGCGGGCGGGAAGCCGCAGCAAAGCCAGGGCGGGGAGCGGACGGCGACGGTCAGTGGGCGGCCGGACCGAGCCGCCAAGCGCGCCCCCGGCTCCCCGGCCCGCTGCCTGTCCTTGAGCCGGCGGCCCAGCGGGGGCGGCCACACAGGGCGGGCGGGCGGGGCCGGCCGACCCTGACCAGGCAGCGCTCCCACCGGGCGGGCGGGCGGGCGCAGGGAGTTGGCAGACGCACTGTGGAATCTGCAACGTCAGAGTCTTACTCAAATATCCTGCCCGCCACCAGGAAGAACAGGCCCCAGCCCCAGGGCTGGTCCGGCGCCTTTGTCCCTGTGTCCAGCTGGTTCCGACCCGCAGTCCTGGGCGTCTTCCGTCACGTCCACACTCCTTGTCTTAAAACACACCTCCTTTGGGACCGGGGGAGGGGGGCGCCTGGGGGCACAGCGACCTTCGGGCCGGGGGTGCACCGTGGCCCCCGAGGGCACCCACCCCCGCTGGGGCTCCGGGAGCCGCAGGCGCAGGGGCCGTGCTGTGGGCGAGCAGAAGGGCCTGAGGGGCGTGGGGTGAGGGCGGGGTCTGGGCTCGTGGCTGGGGTCCGAGGGGCGTCCAGGCAGGGGGAGGGGGGAGGCGGGATGCCGGGCACCCTGACTGGGGACCGGAAGGGCCAGCCTCTCATCCTGCTGCTGGGGTGACGGGCAGAGCAGCGGGGTGGGGGGTGGGGGTACGGGCAGGGGTGCTGGGAGGGCAGAGGGAGGAGGGCCTGGACCACTCCCCGGGGAGGGGGGACGGGGCTTGGGGCGGGGGCGCTGTGACCAGCTGGTGAGGCAGGCGGCAGGTGTGGTCGGACCCAGGCGGCTACACGGCCCTCACAGCCGTCGGGGAGGGTGGGGGGAGGGTGGGGGAGGGTGGGGGGAGGGGGGAGGGCCGCTCAGGACCCGGGCCAGAGGACTGCCTGAGGGGCAGGGGTGTCAGCAGCTGTGGGCAGCAGTGCGGCTGGAGGCCAGGGGGTGGCCGGCTGCTGCAGAGGGGCCTTCTCCTGCTCTCCCCTCGGTCACCGCCGCCGCCATCCCCCCGGAGGGCCACACCAGAAGAGAAACAAAGTAAAATAAGCATAAGCCTGGCCGGCCGGGCTCCGCGGTGGAACCAGGGGCTCAGGGTTCGATTCCCGGTCGGGGCGCAGGCCCGGGCTGCGGGCTCCCTCCCCAGTGGGGGGCGTGCAGGAGGCAGCCGGTCATTGGCTCTCTCTCCTCATGGACATTTCTCGCTCTCTCTGCCTCTCCCTTCCTCTCTGACTCCATGAAAGAATATTTAAAAAATAAAGAACACATGAAGGGCTGCTGTTGCAAAGCCGTGTGTCCCGGTCCCGAGGGAAGTGTGTTTTAAGGCAGGGAGCGTGGACGTGACCGAAGTCGCCCAGGACTGCGGTGGGAGCCAGCCGGACACAGGGACAAAGGCCCGGATCAGCCCTGGGGCTGGGGACCCACCTCGTCGGGGCCCGCAGGGCTGCCTGGGTGGGGCTGCCAGAGGGTGGGGGCCGGCCCCCAGGACGGCCGGAGCTGACGCAGCCGGACACAGGCCCGCCCCACCTCCTAGGCAAACAGCCCAGCGGGGGACTTGGCACCACCAGCAGGGGTGGGAGGTCAAGTCCACCACCCGTCGACAGGCCGAGGGGTCTGCCCGCCCCCGCCCCCGTGCCAGGCTCAGAGCCACCGGTTCCTCTGGGAGCGGCACAGGCCCTCCGCTCCGCAACCGAGGAGCAGGGGGTCCCGGAGGCCAGCCCCGGTGCAGCCCCTCACGTGGCAGCTGGCCCCCACGTGGCCCCCAGGTGTCAGCGGCGCCCGGGCCCCCATCCCCTGGGCTCAGTCTCATGTGCCCCAAGTCAGGCCTGTGAATGGGGTGACTCGCGCCCAGTCTCCAGGCCCAGGCCCCTTCCTGAGCCCCCGCCCGGCTGCAGGCAGCTGCTGACGCCCTGGCACAGAGGAAAGCAGAGGCTGGCGGATGGGCCGGGGCAGCGGGCGGGGCTGGGCGTGAATGGGGGCCACCGGCCTCTGTACCAGGCGCCTCTCAGCGCCGAGGGGGACGGGAGGAGCCCGGCTGTGAGGGGTCACGACGGCCCCGCTGCCAAGGCTGCGGTTGCTGAGCCAACACGGGGGTTCCTGGAGGGAGGGGAGGGTCTGTTTGCCGGCGGACACTGGTTAATCTCCGCCAGGGCCCCAGGCAGAGGCCCCTGGGCCAGCTTAATCCTGAGCAAACGGCTGGGGCTGCCCGGCCGCCGCCTCAGTCCACACCGCCAC